ACCCATGTTATTTTCTCCTAGTTAACCACTTTTGAGTCATTCCCATTTCTTTGTTTTTACCACTTTTAAAAACCCGAGCCTTTTTGTTTTATCCCTCTTTTCTACCTTTTCCAAGGCAAGTGAGCAATTATCCGATATATGCTCCATGAAAAAAAATAGAAACATTTCGAAAAGAAAAAGAAAAAAAAGAGCTGTTCGAAAAAAAATGAAAAAAACGTGAAAATGGAAAACAAAACAACAAAAAAGAGAAAAAATGCATTTCGAAAAGAAATTTGTTGTTTGATATGTTGTCTTTTTATCTTGGTGTGCTTAATGTTTTAATGGAGTTGAGATTATCATTTGTTAGTTCCTTGCCTTGAATATTTAGTAGCCTTTTTCCCCACCTTTACCTAAGCCCCGTTATAACCAATAAAAGACCCTTTGATTTATGCATCTTGTTCTTATTAGTAGTGGAGATTTGATTTACTTGCAGGCTTATGGTAATATCATGTCGATTCTGACATTGAGCGTTTCTTTACCCCAAACACATTGAGTGATTTGAGTGAATCCCGATAAGGTGTTGAGTTATGAGCATTGAGATTAATGAATGAATGGATATTACAATTGCACTTGACTTGTTCCAATTGGTGATGTTCAATTGATTGATTTCTTGACTTGAATAGTTATTGTGGTCTCTACCTTGCTTCATTGAATGTGAAACTTGACAAAGAACAGTAAATGAAATTTTTGACTAGTTTGATTAATCATACTTGAGGACAAGCATGAGATAAGTGAGGGGGAATTTGATGAGTGTTCAGAATCGTTAATCATTGCTCGTTATTTCTTCGGTTTTGAGGATTTATTATTGCTGAATTGGTCATGTTATGTTTGTTTTCGTGCAGGTCCTTACTTTCCAGAATTAGTGACAAAACGAGCGCATTCTGCATTTTTTTTATTATTTGGTCACGGCTAGAGATATGGGCTCTGGGCATGACGCGGTCTGACGTGATAGTTTCTAAAAGGTCCAGTCAGCGACGGTTTCTAGAAGACTTTCTCCACACGCCCTCTGGAAGATTGACGAGCAGAGTTGCATTATGAGACTAGTTTAAGTTTGAATTTAAATTAAAAAATAATTATCTTTAGGATTATTTTATTTATTTTCTTTGTTTATCCTTTAGGCTTTGAGAGGCTATAAATACCCACTTGGGGTAAGCCTAAACTCATCATTCGGATTACAATCTTCTTTTCTCTCTAGTTTTTATAAAAGTTATCTTTTTACTTTTCAAGTTCTTTTCATTTTTCTTTTATTTTTCAAGCTTTGTTTTCAAAATGTTAAGTATGACTTTTGTCATGCTTAGCTAAACTTTTCATAAGCCGAGAGCTGTCACGATGACTCAATTCCATCGAGAGAATTGAAACAGACCCTTAATATCTTCGGAATATCTTTCTCAATCTTTGCGCTTATTTTTCAAAATCAAAACATTTTTCAAAATCAAAGATTGACTTTGGTTAAGAGGTTGTTGCGATTAAATGTGTGGGAAGAAGATTCGGCTTATAGAAAGCAATTCGACTTCCTGGGAACACACTTGGCGAGATAGCTTCGCCAAGAGGGAATTGAGATCAGAATTGACGGTTATCGAAGCAACAATCTGAGTCGGACGCCATGAACTTAAACGGTAATTGATCTACAATTGATGTTGTTAGAATCAATTATCGAAGCCGGAATCAAAGATTGCCTTGGGTATTCGATATACAAGATAGAGTCACAGGGATAGCCCTTGTAGACAAAGTAACCGACGTGAATCCCGAAGAGAAAACCTTATTCGATGATCATAAGGAAACTGAGTCAAAGCGAAGCTTGAGGCTACTTTTACCATATTTATTCACAATATGCATCTTCTTATTTTTACTTTAATTGCTTTTACTTATTTAATCGCTTTTATTATTTTAATATTTTATTACCAAAATTCCCCCATTTTTACTGTTTCACGCCTGCATAAATAAATCAGACAGAAATTTATAATTTTCTAAGTCCCTGTGGAATCGACCCTTACTTCTCTTTACTACGTATTTCCTTTATTTATTGATTGAGAATAAGGAATTTATTTTGACATCCAAAACGACAGTTGTCACCAAGTCTAATGATTAATCAATAAATCAATTACCTGAGGATCCTTAAACTTTGATTATTTCGTTAAATTTTTTTAATACAGGAAATGCATGGATAAGAAATTATGAAATTACCCCTATAGTGTAAAAAGATAATGATTGCATCTCAAAGTGTAAATAACCCCGAAAGCTAAATAATGACCTAATAAAACTACTATTTCACATGCTAAAGACTTGTCATGCCTAGAAAACCCTCATAACTGATTATGACCTCTGAGATGATAAAGAACTTAGAATTTCTTATTCAGAAATAATCACACGATAATTAAAATTATTGGAAATGATGCATACAATTGAATTGAATTGAATTATTTGAAATGACCAAAATACCCTTAGACCTCAAAATGACTTAAATACCCTTAAACTCTGAAATGAAAAAATAACCTCGAGTATTGAAATGACCTAAATACCTCTGTGACCTAGAAATAAGTGAATGTCTTTGGATAATTCTGAAAACATCGTCAAACCTAAAGGTTGTATCACCTCTAAAGGTTTTGGAGCACAATCCAAGCATGTCGGTCTTTATTGGATACTGTTACATTGCAGAAACAAAATAAATATCACTGGAATAACTATTTGTCTCTTCAAGATATGTTATATAATGTTTCTAAAGGTAATCAATTTAACCAATGTCGTCGGTATTAAGAAGTGAATATTCATGAAGTATATCGTTCCAGATAATTGACAAGTATTGTCGTGTTGGGATATGCATAGTTCAATTTGACTCGAAATCCAGATAACTGGAAATAAATTTGGAATAATATAAATTTATGTTTTATCCTCCTAAACCAAATTACCAAGTTTACTCTCAGTAGTAAAATGACTAAAATGGCTCCGATAGCCTGAGTAATGGAATCACTCCTATTACATCCGAATCTAAAATAATTATGATGTAAGGTTCCTTATTACCTTTTGCTGCATCTGAAATTAGAAATGGTTCCGAAGTATCAACTTCTAAATATTTGATTAGATCCATTGGTAATCGAACCCTTTTAATAAAGACTCTGTTTCTGAAATCCAATCAAATTGTAGAAGTTTGTGTTTCCTTACCTGATAATTACCTAAAGCCTTCAGAAAGTTTGTGTTTCCTTACCTGATCTTAAATGTATGATTTTGATATTTGAAATAAAAATCTGATTTCTGTTTTCTGATACTAAATACATCTGACTCCTGATTTATGATATTATTGGTTATCTATTTTTACTGAAAAATATAAATATGTATGATTGATGGATCCTGGAACTACTGTTATTGTCTGAATTGTTTTAGTGGGGTACTTTCTGGGTAGGTGTTTGGAGTTTTGAGGTTCAACTAGCTGATAATTCCTTACAGACCTTACAATTTGGGGGGAAATGCATATTGGTGTTCGGTTTGGGAAATGCATTAATGTCTACAAGTGAAGAATAATAATAATAATAATAATAATCAAGATTATTAGAGAAAAATGTTTTTACAGAGAATCAAGAAGAAAAAGAAGGGTTGATTGCCACGTTAGAAAAAAGAATGTTAAATGAGGGTTAACTACCACGTCAGCAAAAACTAACGGGAGATAACGACAGATATCTAAATGAAAATAAATTAAAAGTTCGATGATTGTATTGTAAGTTTCAAAAGTTTAGTGAAATGCAAATGCCCTAAAAGTTTGGAGATTATTTATATACTTTACCCAAAAAAAAACTAGAAGATGAATCGTTTATAATCATGGATAGACACAAGATTTTATATTAAATGTAAATTTATAAAAAAAATTATAAGGCAATTGTCCTCACTTATCTCACTCGATTTATCCCGACTATTATAGACACTACCATATTCCCAAAGCCCAAAGCTACTTCCAATCTTCCACAAACCTTGTACCGAGAGCTTAAATTTCTCAACTCAAGCTATCAAGTACACTGGGAAGAGACTCAAATTTAACGATTAAATTAATAGAAATTCTAAATATTAAAAATTTAATAAATTATTTTAAATTAAAATTAATTAATAGAAGGTATGAATTTTAAGAATTAAAATGATAACATCATATAATGTCATTATTTTAGTTAAGTCAACAGTGTCAAGGATCAATGATTGAAATAGAAAACAACGTAATATTCGACATGAATTTGTTAAAGAAAATAATGAAAAATATTGCAAGAATGTAGTTTCCTTTTGTGTTTGTGTACTTTAATCTATTAGGTTGACGTACGAACATGAAAATAAGGACATTTATTTATATTAAAAACGACCACATAGAACGGACAGACTTTAAAACATATAAAACTACAGGAGCATAACATATGAAATCAAACAGTAATGGTTGCTCTATGAGTAACCAACCTTCTGATCTTGTCTAATAACAACACATTATTACGATGAAATAAAGCACATAGGGATAGGGTCGGTCCGTTCATAGTTTTTTTTTTTTTGGAAAAAAATCTAAGAGAATTTTATAATTTTGAAAAAAAAAATAAATATGATTCTCGTAATATTATTTTTCTTTTAATGTGATTCTCCAACTCAGAATTAAACCCAATGTGACGTTTTGATCAACGTTTTTTCGTCGTTGATCGTTATGGTATTAACATGACAGTCCACGATGCTAACATGACAGTTCAAGGTGGCGGATGACGTGGTAAATGAGCTAGATTGATAACTCAAACATAGAAGATAGATTGTCATGTTAGCACTGTGAACTGACACGTCGGTACTGTAATGGTCAAAGACGAAAAACATTAGTCAAAGGATCATATTGAGCTTGTTTTCTGAGTTTGAGTATCACGTTGAGAGAAAAAATAATAAGAGGATCACATTGGATTTTTTTTCCAAAAGTATAGGAACCTCTAGTGATTTTTTTCCTTTTTTCCCCGGAATTAGTTAACAACGAAACACTTCTTCCTAATTTCTCCTGCATTCCCTGTAAGAACTCCAATGGCTCCCATCTTCTTCATCGACTCTGCGAACTCTTCGAAGAATTTCTCCTCGTCTTCGAGCAACTTATGGACAATGTGTCTCGAGACGTTGTTCGTCAAGAGCGCGGCATCAGACTGAAACAGGCCCTTGTGTTGTTTGACCGTCAAGTAATAGTTATTATCGAATTTCAGCACGCTACCGGGATCCATCGGGACGAAGGTCGTGGTGTCATTAAGGCTTCGGCATTGAGTCTTCAAGAAAGCTGCGTAAGTTGCATTCAAGGAAGGATCTTGATCTCCTCTTCCAGTGAAGTTGTATAGCCTGTTGCTGAAGGTATTGCAGTGGCCTACTCCGATCGTATGACCGCCTGCGTTCGACGTTCACTTAGCCCTTTGTACATCGTTATCGACGGTGAATGATAAACTTTACTATATGTTTTTAGATTATTTGTACCTGATAAGACCACTAAGTCATGGATATTGAGGCCTTGGTTAGCGAAATTCCGTACCAGGACGGTGAAGTTCGAGAAAGGGGAAGGAAGATTAGCCAACGCCTCAGAACTCCGCGACACCCTGCCGTCTCGTCTGCCGGTATAAACTTTCCACAATGGTTTTCTGAACTGCAAGTAATTAATTAAATTGTTAAATACCTTCACTTTAAATCAAAATTAACATGGTCTTGACGTAACTTACTTTGAAAGAAACTGCATCCCTAGCAGCCAAGGCCAGAACATCAGCACAAGACACCACGTTCGGACATTTCTTCTCGACTTCCGCTTTTATGTCGTCGATGACATCAAACCCCGACACCGTTAGGTTCGGAATCGAATCCTTCTCGGCCGTGTTGTTAGCTGTCGAGTTCAAGAGGACCGAACCGTCGCAGCCCTGAATTATTTTAACATGTAAACGTACATGAGCATTTATGATTCAACAATCTGCATGCAATATACAATTAAACACAACGCCTTACCCTGACAAAACAGTCATGAAAATGCATTCTCAGGAACTTTGCAGGCAACGTGGGATCGTTGGCAACATATTTCTCAGTAACGTTCTTGATTATCGTCTCTGCATCGTGGCATTTATGCCTGTAGAAATTCTTCTCAAGGCCACTTCCATGGCAGCTCCCGACAAGTACTCCGACAACCAGCATGCAAAGCAAAATGAAACCCTGGTTTCTCATCTTGTGAATGTAATAATTCTAATTGAATCTTGCAGTGCCATATGTGAAACGAGCTCGGCCGTATTTATAATCGTCGTTTTGGAATCTTTCGTAGCTATGATCCGGTGTAGCAAAGGTGTATTTTAGTGAGAGAAATTAACATTACAGTTAAAAAATTACTATAAAAAGTCAGCTCTACATTCGCGTATAGTGTGACGGAACCAAAAATATTTTTTAAGGTGAACACGTATATATTAGGTACATAATTATTACATAAGATGGACACAACTAAAATTTTAGAATGATACAATTATTAAAATATGTTTTGAGATTAATTAGGGTTTATATTTTTAAGAATTAGCTCTACTCTTAGAATTCTTAAAATTTAAAAACAAATAAATAAAAGAGTGCATATTTTATAAAAATTATATAGAGAGAGGTTAATATGTATGAATACATGAAAATATAATTACAATGATAATCACTATTAACTAATATTTAACATTTAATCAAGGCTTATTGTTAATGACACCTGGATATGTACATAGCCTCCTTCGACTTAATAGTTTGGAGGCAATGTGATTTAGGAAAATTACATGATCAATTCCGCTTATTTTTTTCTTTAGTGTCTTTAACGATAAAAAAGAATTTTATTTTTTTCTAGACGACTCATGTTCGAACAATTACGTATATGTATGATGTGTGTGCATTATTAATAGACTAAAAATTAATAAACAAATATTATCTTATAAGCCCTCTATATTATCGAAAAAGTAATAATACTATATGTCTTACGTAAGGTTTTAATTTTTATATTTTAGGATTCAAGGTTAAATTGATTAATGATTTATGGGTAGTTTAAGTATTATATCTCATGTTCGAGTCGTTATGTGTGCAAAATATCATCATTGGAAGACTCACCCACTAAAATCAGGTGTGCGGCACAAGTCAATCCGAATTGATGATTTTTATATGTCTTATATAAGGTTTTAATTTTTATATTTTAGGATTCAAGGTTAAATTGATTGATGATTTACGGGTAGTTTAAGTATAATATCTCATTTTCGAGTCGTTGTGTGTGCAAAACATCATCATTGGAAGACTCACAAACTAAAATCAGGTGTGTGGCACAAGTCAATCCGAATTAATCAGGGTGAAGTCTTAAAATCGAAAGGACCAAAAAAACATCGTCTAAACCATTTAATCATTTAAAGATTATTATTAGATAGGCAGACAATATAAAATTTATTTTACATAGTATAACTATTTTAATTTTAAATCTTAATTTAAAATATAATTTTAAATTCTAAACTGCACATTCTAAAGTATAAACAACTTTAAAATAAGATTTATAAACTTTTAATTAGATAGAATGGTTAGATAATTTTTCATAATTTAAATAATATAGGGTTTTTATCCCTTCTCGCCATTTGACAATTTCCAAACCCTAGACCACTTCTGCCACATTTCACCTTCCATTAGTGATCGTGGTTTTAGCCTTAGGCCAGTTGCCGATGCCATTTGTTCCTCGATTCTTTGACTTCTCGATTTAGAATTTTTATTGCCATCGGTTCTTCTTTATAGAACATGTCTTAGCTTAAGCACTGATACAAAAAAACATGTGAAAACTTTCCATATCTGACGATGAAGCTAATCGATAAGCTACGGGTCCAACTCTATTAAGCATCTTATAAGGTCCGATAAAGTGCGGAGTCAACGTTCCCTTGCGCACAAACCTAAACACTCTCTTCCAAGGTAACACCTAAGGAATACTTTCTAGCTTGATGGGAGTCTGTTAAATTATTTATTAATTTGGAGGTGTTTCGTTTATGAATGCTTCTTAAAAATGGGTTTTTCAAACGTAAAAGTATCGTTTTTCTAATTTATTGGTTTGAATCAAAAATATTTTTTCAAACGTAAATTTTTAACTGAAAATGAGATATTTGAGATTACTTACGTTACAAATGAATTTTTAGAACTGTTAATATATATATATATATATTGTTAATTGTTGTTGGTACTAGTCGCTTTCAAAATTGATTTTTGATGCATGCACATCAAACAAGTACAATTGCCATTATAACATATAGCCAACTAAATGGACCTTAGGAGGGTCCTAACTCCAATTTTTACGTTTAATAATAATTTATTTTTTATAGAATTAAATCTTAAATAAATTATTGTTTCCTTTTCTAGATAAAAATATAAAACAATTTCTGAATAGATTATTATATACGAGATATAAAAAAAACTTCATAATAAAAGAAAAGGTCGTATCGTAAACAGTAATTTGTTACTTCTTTTCTATTAAAATAAGGGTAAAGTACACAAATGGTCCCTCAACTATAAGGTATTACTTTATTAAGTCTCTCAAATATTAAAAGTTACAATATGATCCTCCGACTATAGAGTGTTACTTTGTTGAGTCTCTCAACTATTCATTATATTTTAAACTCGTATTTTTTGTTAAAAAATTTGATAGTATTCTAAGTTGAACGTTAACCTACTGACTGTGATATGATAAAATATGATCATAGAATCTCAAATGACTATCATATATCGATCATTGTGTGAAAGTCCAGCTTAGACAACAACCAATTTTTAACAGAAAATGATGAATTGAACATAATGAATAGTAGAGTGATCATTTTGTAACTTTTAACAGTTGAGAGACTTAATATAGCAACATTTTATAGTCGAGAGATTTAATAAAATAATACCCTATAGTCGGGTACTATTTTATAACTATTTAAACGTACACGTGGCCTAATCCTGTAAGGAGGCATGGATAAGGGCAGAGAATTTCCGGTACTCCACAACTTAGACCAACATTAATTGCTCATGCATAGATCTTTAATGACTAAATTATCTGTCTTATATATAGATACACTTAATTGAGTGTTTGTATAGGGTTGACATCAATTTAATTTGATTTTTTTTTTTTTAAAATAATTTTATTAAATTGTCTTAATACTATATCTTTTAATGACTATTTAATAGAGTTGGCAAATATTTAAGCCTCTAACATTATTTAATTGAGTGTTTGTATAAAGTTGACTCTAATTCAGCCAGATTTTTTTTTGAAAAATTTTAAACACAAAATGATAATTTGATTTAATTTTTCTATTTTTAATTAATCAAATGAAAATTTTATGACATTTTAATATTTCATCCTCGTGTTGGTACAAGTGGTTGGGACTCGAGAATCTGAGCTTGTAAGGATAAGTTCGAATCCTACCACTGTCAATCTTGATGGGCAATTTGTAAATTCCTATGTAAATCTCAATTGGTTTTGGTATGCCCTGCCCTAATAAACTTTATTTTGTAAAAAAAAATAATTTGAATAAGATATGTTAACTTGATAATAAAAAAATATTCATAATAATATGAAATTAATTATAAAACTATAATTAATGTATTAAAATCTTTTATAGATACACATTATTCAAGCCTTTTAAAATACCGTTTAATTTATAAATAAATGAACATTTAAAATAATGGAAAATCATTTTAATTTGACTATCTAAAGGAGAGTGACCATATTAGTTAAGCTCCTGGTTTAGTTAAATGGGATTTGGCTAGGGTAACTATTCAGTGGCGGAGCACAACGTGCCCGACCTGAATTTCAAATTTTCTTCGATTAGTTACATATTTTATTGATGGTGTCTATTCTGAAATGAGAAAATTCATTAAAAAAATAAAGAGTTAATATCAACTGTCTATTTTTCACTCATCAAACGAACTTGAATGTGTAAAATTAAATAATAATAAAAAGTTGCATTATGTAAGTGGATCATAACCCTATATAAATAATTAGAATGAACACTAAAAGTTTATTTATGTACAAGATTTAAGTTTTTTAATTAATCTGGGGTAAGTACAAGGTAGTATCTAGACCTGACAAATTTGACATCTACTCGATTACTCGAATCGATTTATCCGATCCGAGACTCGATATAGACTCGAACAAGATGACCTAAAATTGATCCGAAACCCGAAATAATCCGAATTGAACTGAAATCGACCCAAACTTTAGTTGAACCGAAAGTAACCCGAATCAAAAAGTAACCCTAACTGAAAAGACCCGAATCGAAAGCAACTCGAATTTAGTTTACCCATACCCGACCTGAACAGCACTTCAACCCGATTTTAACCCGATAATTGAGTATAAATGAATTAATAATTTATTTTTTATTTTTATTTTATTATTATGTGATTTTAGCATGGATAAACAGTAAAATGATCTTGTCATACCCTAATTTTGTCCTAACGACCTAAATTAGATCAAAGACGATCGAAGACGAACTAGAAGATGATCATGTTTTGATGCCAATTGGTTCAAGTGACATTGATGGCATAAGTAAAGGTTGTTCGCTCATCAACGCCGGATTGATTCGAGTGACCTTAGTGGCATGGATGGAAAATAATTCAGGGGCTTTGGGAATTGCTTAATGGACATAAGTGACCGATTGTGCTTATTTGGGAAACTACCTTTATCATTAAATACCAAACAAATACCAGAATTAAACAAAACAATTACATTTAAACCTGCATAACCCAATTACATCCGAATTACAATACAAGGCTCAATTTTGCAGGCCCAGCTAAGTAGGATGGCTAGGGATTTTCATCTCTATCTTGAGCAGCCACCTAGTAGCAGTTGGGTCTGTTTTGATCCAACGGTCTTGATCCTGTAATATTAGGGTTTCTCAAACCCCAGTGCAGCATCCAAGAGCCAACTGGCGCCGCTGCCTCCAGCAAGCTTCCACCTGAGGCCCGCCGTTCGCGCCGGTAACCCCTATATCCCGAGTCACGCCGCCAATCTGATATTGACTCAACCCAAAACCAACCGATCCGATATTAACTCGATCCGAAAATCACCTGATCCAATTTTAACTCGACTTGATATCTGACCCGAACTGAATCTAAACCGAAATAATCTAAACCCGAAATGACTCGACCCGTAACCGATCTGAATGACTCTATTGCCACCTCTAGAGGTATATATTTACAGATAACTT